CATTCCATTTGTCTACTACTCTGACACTGAAAAAACTCTTTCTAATGTCTCTATGGCTCATTTGGGCACTCAATTTCCACCTGTGTCCCTAAGTGCGTGTGCTCTTGGTGTTAATTAGTCTGTCTTTATCTACCCTATATATTTCTCTGAGAATCTTGTATGTGGTGATCATGTCCCCCTTAACTCTTCAGTCTCTCAGTGGTGTGAGGTTTAATTCCCGTAGTCTCTCCTCGTAGTTCATACCCCTCTGTTCGGGTACTAGTCTGGTGGCAAACCTTTGAACCTTTCCCAGCTTAGTCTTATGCTTGAATAGATATGGACTCCATGCTGGAGCCGCATACTCCAGGATTGGTCTGACATATGTGGTATACAAAGTTTTGAATTACAAAGTTCCTTACACAAGTTTAGAAAGGCCGTTCTTATGTTGGCCAACTGGGCATATGCCGGTGATGTTATCCTCTTGATTTGGGCTTCAGGAAACAGGTCTGGCGTGATTTCAACCCCCAGGTCTTTCTCTCTCTTTGACTCTTGAAGTATTTCATCTCCCAAATGATACCTTATATCTGGTCTCCTGCTCCCTACACCTATCTTCATTACATTACATTTGCTCGGGTTAACCTCTAACAACCACTTGTTCGACCATTCCTGCAATTTGTCCAGGTCTTCTTGAAGCCTCAAGCAATTCTCCTCTGTCTTAACCCTTCTCATAATTTTGGCATCGTCAGCAAACATTGAGAGGAATGTGTCTATACCCTCTGGGTATAGACGTATATCATTTACGTATATCAGAAACAGGATAGGTCCGAGTACAGAGCCCTGTGGGACCCCACTGGTGACTTCACGTCAATCTGAGGTCTCACCTCTCATTGTAACTCTCCTCTTCCTATTGCTTAGGTACTCCTTTACCCACTGGAGCACCCTACCAGTTACTCCCGCCTGTTTCTCTAGCGTATTCATCAACCTCTTATGGGGTACTGTGTCAAAGGCTTTTCGACAGTTCAAGAAAATGCAGTCTGCCCATTTTTCTCTTTCTTGCTTCATCTTTGTCACCTGATCGTAGAATTCCATTAAGCCAGTAAGGCAAGATTTACCCTCCCTGAACCCATGTTGATGGGGTGTCACGAAGTCTCTTCTCTCCTGATGTGTTACTAGGTTTTTTCTCACTACCTTTTCCATCACCTTGCTTAGTATACACGTTAAGGACACTGGCCTGTAGTTAAGTGCCTCCTGTCTGCCTCTTCTGGTAGATCTTCCGTCTCCAATGACCTACTTACACTATGGAGAGTGGCAAGCAAAGTGCTTCTGCACTCTCTTTCAATACCCATGGTGAGATTCTGTCTGGGCCAAAAGCCTTTCTCACGGCCGGATCCAACAGATGCCTCTTGACCTCATCTCTTGTAATTTCGAACCCTTCCACGACCGCCAGGTTCACTGCCACCTTTCCTAGCGCAGTGACCTCACCTTGTTCTATTGTGAAAACCTCCTGGAACCTTTTGTGGAGTTCTTCACACACTTCTCTGTCATTCTCTGTGTACCTTTCCTTACCCTTTCAAAGTTTCATCACCTGTTCTTTTACCGTGGTGTTTTTCCTGATAACTGTGGAATAGCTTTGGGTCGGTCTTGGCTTTATTAGCTATATCATTTTCATATTTTTTCTCAGCTTCTTTTCTCACACTAACATACTCGTTCCTGGTTCTCTGGTATTTCTCTCTGCTTTCAGGTGTCCTGTTATTTCGGAAGTCACTCCACGCCCTTTTGTTCAGTTTCTTTGCTTCCATACATGCCCTATTAAACCATGTGTTTTTCTTTTGCTTCCCGATTTTTTCCTTTCGGGCCGGGATAAACCTGTTTACTGCCTCCTGACACTTTTTGGTGACTTAGTCCATCATGTCTTGAACGGACTTAATTCTGAGTTATGTGTCAAATTGTATATCCTTTAGCAATTTTCTCATCTCCTCATAATTTCCCTTTCGGTACGCCAGCCCTTTGTTTCCTTTTTTTTTTGGGGGGGGGGGGGGGAGATAAATCCTAGCTCTACCAAGTACTCAAAAATCAATACAGTGTGATCACTCATTCCCAAGGGGGCTTCCAAATTAACTTCCCCTATATCCGACTCATTTAGGGTAAAAAATCAGATCAAGAATAGCTGGTTCATCCTCTCCTCTCATTCTTGTCGGTTCCTTGATGGTACTTTGTGTGTGTGTGTATGTGTACTCACCTAATTGTACTCGCCTAATTGTGCTTGCGGGGGTTGAGCTTTGGCTCTTTGGTCCCGCCTCTCAACTGTCAATCAACTGGTGGACAGATTCCTGAGCCTACTGGGCTCTATCATATCTACATTTGAAACTGTGTATGGAGTCAGCCTCCACCACATCACTTCCTAGTGCATTCCATTTATTAACTACTCTGACACTGAAAAAATTCTTTCAAACGTCTCTGTGGCTCATCTGGGTACGAAGTTTCCACCTGTGTCCCCTTGTTCGTGTCCCACCCGTGCTGTATGTGTGTGTGTGTGTGTGTGTAAATACAGGATGACTGTCTTGTCCCGTCTTCCCAGCACTCTTTGTCATCTCTTGGCCTCCACCACCTTCTCACCCTATTACCGGCATCTGTCAGAATCTTGAATGTGGTGATCATGTCCCCCCTAACTCTTCTGTCTTCCAGCGAAGTGAGGTTTGAATTCCCGTAGTCTCTCCTCGTAGCTCATACCTCTCAGCTCGGGTACTAGTCTGGTGGCAAACCTTTGAACCTTTTCCAGTTTTTCTTATCCTTGACTAGATATGGACTCCATGCTGGGCTGCATACTCCAGGATTGGCCTGACATATGTGGTATACAAAGTTCTGAATGATTCTTTATCCAAGTATCTGAATGCCGTTCGTATGTTGGCCAGCCTGGCATATGCCGCTGATGTTATCCGCTTGATATGTGCTGCAGGAGACAGGTGTGTGTGTGTGTGTGTGTGTGTGTGTGTGTGTGTGTGTGTGTGTGTGTGTGTGTGTGTGTGTGTGTGTGTGTGTGTATGTGTGCTGGAGTGTGCATGTATTCTGTAATCTATGAAGGCCTCGCGTCCACGTTCATCACTCCAGATTATAACCACCAACGTTAGAGGTCAAAGAAACTTATCCTGATATAAAACCTGTCACTGCGAACTAATCCTATAAAAGTTACTTAATTATAGTTTTTGTCATATTTTCGAATCTACTTTTAGATGGTATTTCTATAATAATATAAACAAGGTTATTTGTGTCAAGGACATGTAAGAAAGGACTGCACCGAAACATTTTGGTTTCAGAGTTCTCATTTGCAGTTTGAGAATACAGGTCGACTCAACTACATTTTGTATTCCATATATGCCTCTTGAAACCAGTGGCTTTATCTAATAAACACGCCCTACATTCTGCATAATAAATATTTTTTTTCGTCTGTGAGTTGGTGAGTATTTTTTAAGTGTCTGAGAGTAAGGTGAATCTGAATGTGTTTATATGTTTGGTTGGAGTGTGTTCTTCCGTGTTTGTTGTATTAATGTTTGCTAATAATAACTGAATTACAATCATTGTTGTGATTGCAGATTCGTTTGTGATCTATAAGGCCCAGCTGTCTTTTATGTTGACACTGGCTGTATGACGACTCTCCCTACCTTCTTGCTCTTTTTCATTCCTGTTTTTACAGTTTTAAATTGAAGTAGCCTCAATTCATCAACTCATTTCACATATGCATTGTAATACTACTACTACTACGTAAGTGGAGAATATGAATCACAATAACGTAGCATGAAGATATGAGAAATAAATCAACGCACTACAAGATGAGGAGACGACGACGTTTCCCCCGATAAGCATCACCGTAAGTGATGCTTACGGTGACCCCTTTTTCATGGACCTTGAATTATCAAGCAATAACCCAATAACTACCGAAATGTTAACCGTTTCTCAGTCTTTGGGGGCTTTATTTACAAATAATAATAATTTTTTGAGCTTCGAAGGACTAGAAAGCTAATTTTAACAACTTTAACATTTGAGAGGAAATTTTCCATGCTTTCAACTGTTTTATATATAACAATGAAGCCGGCAAAGATTTAAAAAATATGTTAAAGTTTGTATGTAGATGCGTAAATGCTTGTTGAATCCTCGCTTTAGTTAATAATTTGTGTTTTTATCTTAAAATTGTTCCCCATGTTCTATTTCTCAACTAGAACATCTAATCTTTGTCTACCTTGTAAATTCATAATTCTTGTTCATATCCAGTCCCTATTAATTATGGATCCAATTTTGGTGTTGAACCTGTAATTGTTTTTGTAGTAGATATCACCCAGGGATTGCATATTAACATTGTTCTCATATGAATTAATTATGTTCTGAATCTTTTCTTCTGAAGGTTCGTCTATCTACATACCTGGTCTACCTTTTGTAACTTCCATGGATCAACGGCCCAGCGGCACGGTTTCCGACCAGTCAACGGGAGATGCTATAATCATTATATTTCGTGTTTCTTCTGAATAAAGTAACTTATTGCTGTTCCTGATACACACTTTTACTAAGTTATTTAACTTTACAATATGCACAAATAATAGCCAGCAGTGGTCACGCCACCTGCTGGTAATTTAATCTATTCTGATACACAGTGATATACTTCTTCGAAACGTAATTTAGTATCTGATTGTCCAAGGGAACGAGATGGTATTAACAACGCTATAGTGATTTGCATTTATTTGGACATGGAGGACAAAGTTTGTCCTCTCTCCACTCTCCTGATTGGCACCAGGAGAGTGCCAATCACAAACACACGAATTGGTAATGGTCCAGGGCAGACCGAAACGTCGTTGTTTCTTTCCAAGATATGTATAAAGTTTGTGTTAGTTATGACTAAGATCTTTCCTTATTATGAGCGGCCATGGTCTAGTCTGCAAAATGACACCTCGTTACTACGGATCTTTAAATATTCATGGAGTATGTGGTCATGAAACAGGAAAGGGATGACGCAGCGCATCAGCAAGGTCGGGAAGATAACAGTATATAAAGAGTCGACGACGCACCACCAGCAGCTCAGACCTGGACTGCCACCTTCCTGCATCAAACATGGTCCGTCTCTCTCCGTTTATGATGATATTTCTTCAGTTTTCAATATTTAAGAAAATAGACATTTTAGACAGAATTGAGTAAAAAATATATTTTTTGTCATTTCATAAGTTTTTTTTTCATTTCACAGAAGGTGCTGCTGATCACCGTGAGCGTTGTCCTGCTGGTGGGATCCACCAGGGCAGGCGGAGGACATGGAGGCGGTGGTGGGTTTGGAGGCGGCGGAGGAGGATTTGGACACGGTGGAGGCGGCTTCGGAGGAGGCGGTGGATCTCGCTATGGTTCACGTGGTGGTGGCGGCATCGGAGGTGGTGGATTAGGAGGAGGATCCAAAGGCTTCGGTGGTGGCAGTTTCGGTGGTGGTGGCGGCTTCGGTGGTGGCGGCCACGGTGGTGGTGGATCTCGGTATGGCTCCATTGGAAGAGGTTTCGGTGGTGGTGGCATCGGCGGTGGTGGATTCGGAGGAGGATCCAAAGGCTTCGGTGGTGGCGGCCACGGTGGTGGCGGCCACGGTGGCGGCGGCTTCGGTGGCGGCGGTTTCGGTGGCGGCGGTTTCGGTGGTGGCGGTTTTGGAGGAGGATCCCACGGCCAGCGATATGGATAAAGAGTGGAAACGTTAACTAAGGATTGTGGACATTTTAGTAAAGAAAAATCTGTTCTACAGATTTAATATTCTTGACACCATAGATAATTTATATGTCAAAAATAAACCTTTGAATTCAAATATTAATTATTTGTCCTAATGAATTTGTTTATTCAAGCCTGTATGGTTGTTTCTTCCAGTGCCATTATGTTCAACTCATTCAGGCTCTCTCCGAACCTCAATCCTATCTGTTCCAGGACCAGTTTTCAAACAATGCTTTGCACTCTCTCCATTCTCGTTTTGAATATTTTAAGGTGATGGCGGATTATGTTCACTCGACGAAGATTATTTCTATCTGTAATTGCACGTAATATCATTATACGTTAAAAAGTCCTTTTCTGTAGGCTCTTTGAGGATTTCTTTATGTTTCTGAGCTTAGTATATGCTGCTGACATGATTCTTATTATGTTACTACTGAGATCGGTATAGTGTTATGTATTTTTCTTTTCTCTCATTGACTCTGTCAGAGACCCCTGTATTATTATGCACTGTTCATATATTCATGAACATGCACTGAACTGGATTGAAGTTCAGTATTCATTTGTCCGACCATACTTAAAATATTTGTTAGTCTTTCTGAGTCTTGCAATCATCATTCGTCATGAATTTAGCTTCATCAATAATCAGAGACACAAAACAATATTCGATTTTCAGTTTGTACAAGGTTATTTATAAGTGATTGGGGCAAATGATTCCTTATAAGTATTTGGAATGCATTCCTCGTGCCGTCTACCTTAAGTCTTTCTAACAAAGGCTAATTTTTTTTTATATTTTCTATTCTCCCTATAAGTGTTGGAATTCTTTGGGAAGTTAATCATTTTTTTAATCCATTATTATTTTCCTTATTTGTCTATAACATTTCGCATGGTCTGTGTGTTGCTGCAATCCATTTTCCTGTTTAGATAGTACCTTTTGGTGCGAGCGTCAATAGTCATAAATTCATATGTACTTAGGTTTCAGACAAATACTAGTAAGAAATTATTTAACAAAAATGAAGCTAAACATCAAACTTAAATATTACTAGTCTTAGTATGGCACACATAAGTATTATACTATGCCTCAGATATCGTTAATTAAGCCTTGGAAGGTTAGGTTAGCTTAATTTAGGTTGTCTTTGCATCACATGTAAAATATAGTTTCCGGTTTGTCAAACCCAAGAGTGCAGATTTCTACTTTCTAATTTCGTTGTACGTCGGAATATATGCTATGGTCCTCGTCGTTACTATAAGTTCTACCAAAACAGGAGGATTGGCTGGTTAAGGACACTACAATTGTTTAGTGGTTGTTCTCTTATTAGTTCAAAATATTTGTCATATATATTTCGTCTGTTTAGCACCACCTCGTCTGTTTAGGACCACCTCGTCTGTTTAGCACCACCCTTTTCTCCATTAATGGCATGGTAATCACTGAGTTACATAAAAAGGGATTTCAGACATTTTTGTAATTTATTGTTCAATCCTGTCAAGTCCCACAGTCATTGTTTTGTAAAGTCCCTTGAGTTAGTTCATAACCCTAAACACTCGTTTTTTTCTACTAGTGAAGTCAAATCAATTTCTGGAGGAACCCTTGCAACCATGTCAGGTAGTGACATCGTTGCAAGTTATTATTCTTATTCCAACTTATTCCAACTATACGTTCAATGTATACTTGAAATATTAAATTTAACTCGACACTTGTGTCTCATCGTTCGCTGTTAACTCTCCACTTCTCTTGACAAGTCTCATCACTCTATCGTTCATTTTGGCTTCCTGCATTTCATTACTGTGAAGCTTCTATATTTCTCGTTCCGATATTGTTTCTTTGCTCCACTTTTAATGCTTATATATTTGTACATTTTTTTTGTTCATATCTTTATTATCTGTCTCAATTGAAAAAAAATATTTTTCGTTGGGTTCATGCTACGTATCATTACATTTTTTTATAGTCCACAATTTAAAAAACTTCTTCCTGATCTACTCCTCCCTCAAAATGCTCAACTCTACAGTGTAAATAGATGGTAGCAAGCGGTGGTCACCGCCGCTGATGATAATTCTTTGTCTCTATACATCTATCTCATCTGGGTAGAGGGAAATTCTGTTCTTGAAGAAACATCAGGTCCTCTGAACCTGATGTTCGTGTGTGTCTATTTATGTGTACTTATCTAGTTGTACTTACCAAGTTGTGCTTCCGGAGGTTGAGTTCTGGCTCTTTGGTCCCGCCTCTCAACCGTCAGTCAACTGGTGTACAGGTTCCTGAGCCTACTGGGCTCCATCATATCTACACTTGAAACTGTGTATGGACTCAGCCTCCGCCACATCACTTCCTATTGTATTCCATTTGTCTATGTTACAAACCCGACTACATCGTTGGAGTATGGAGTAGCGACGTCAACACCATCTGTGAGTCTGCCCCACAATATCTGATGTTATATGGGCGACGCAATCTGGTGATGGCAGTCTGATAACTGCAAAAAGGCTCAAGATTCCTGCCTTGGTCAGCCAGAGAAGTCGCTGTGGATGACCTCAGGCGACGTAGGGCTGCAGTGGTACGGAGAAAAGCAGCCTACCTTGGGCAGCCTAATCTCTCTCTACTTAATTCTGTTTGACGACTAAGTGAGCCGCCGCCGAAGAGGTACTGTGTGGTATCTGCTTTCTGCCAGTGGAGTGGCAGAGAAAGAATTCGGCGTATCCCGGGACTGGCTAGGGGAAGTGACGACCGGCAGTGGAGTGCCTGTTTGAGGAGCGTTACTGTCCCGTTGCTAGAGGATCCTGCCAGGGGTTCGCTACCCCTGTATTTGTCTGTGTAGAGGCTCATCAGCGCGTAGCTGAAGTTCTCTGCCAGCACTTGGCTGGAGAGTGATTGTGGGCATTCACAAGAGGCCCGTGGAGTGGCAGAGAAAGAATTCTCTGCCAGCATATCTACAGTGATACTGTAGTTAGGCTGGCCCACGGCAGGGGAAGACTTGTTGGTGTTTCCCAGTACTGATTGAGGACGGTACTGAGTGTTGAGGAAACACAGAAGTTGACAAAGGCTGCATCGCGTTAGCATCGAGGAGTGCTTAGTGTCCTACATGAGAGCGACACATGTAAATATCCACGTGTAGTAATATTATCTCATTTTATATTTTATATTTAAGGTGATGGGAAAGTGGTAATAAGTTAAGTGAATATATTGAAAAAGAATGAAATGTTGTGTTCATTTCAGCTCCCCCTTTTTATTACTTGTATTACCTAACCTACTCCTTGAAAGTCACTACCGACTTGGGGTCGGATACTGGAACTTTGGGTCATAGATAAAGAACTCGGTTGCGACCCATAGTGGCTGTAACATTCTACTACTCTGATACTGAAAAAATTCTTTCCAATGTTCCTATGGCTCATTTGGGCACTCAATTTCCACCTGTATCCCCTAGTGCGTGTACTCCTGGTGTTAAATAATCTGTCTTTATCTACCCTATCAATTCCACTGAGAATCTTGTATGTGGTGATCATGTCCCCCCTAACTCTTCAGTCTCCCAGTGACGTGAGGTTTAATTCCCGTAGTCTCTCCTCGTAGTTCATACCCCTCTGTTCGGGTACTAGTCTGAAGGCAAACCTTTGAACCTTTTCCAGCTTAGTCTTATGCTTGACTAGATATGATATCAATGCTGCAGCCGCATACTCCAGGATTCATCTGACATATGTCGTATACAAAGTTCTGAATGATTCCTTACACAAGTTTCTAAAGGCCGTTCTTATGTTGGCCAACTGGGCATACGCCGTTGATGTTATGCTCTTGATATGGGCTTCAGGGTACAGATCTGGCGTGATATCAACCAACAGATCTTTCTCTATGACTCTTGAAGCATTTTTCTAAAATGATACCTTGTATCTGTCTCCTGCTCCCTACACCTATCTTCATTACATTACATTTGCTCGGGTTAAACTCTAACAACCACTTGTTCGACCATTCCAGCAACTTGTCCAGGTCTTCTTGAAACCTCAAGCAGTCCTCCGCTGTCTTAACCCTTCTCATAATTTTAGCGTCGTCAGCAAATATTGAGAGGAATGAGTCTATACCCTCTGGTAGATCATTTACGTGTATCAGAAACAGGATAGGTCCGAGTACAGAGCCCTGTGGGACCCCACTGTTAGCTTCATGCCAATCTTAGGTCTCACCTCTCACTGTAACTCTCTGCTTCCTATTGCTCAGGTATACCCTTACCCACAGGAGCACCTTACCAGTTACTCCTGCCTGTTTCTCTTGCGTATTCATCAGCCTTTTATGGGGTACTGTGTCAAAGGCCTTCCGACAAGAAAATGCAGTCTGCACATCCTTCTCTTACTTAATCTTTGTCACCTGATCGTAGAATTCTATTGAGCCAGTTAGGCAAGATTTACCCTCCCTGAACCAATGTTGATGGGTTGTCACGAAGTCCCTTCTCTCCAGATGTGTTACTAGGTTTTTCTCACGATCTTCTCCATCACCTTACACGGTATACAGGTCAAGGACACTGGCCTGTAGTTCAGTGCCTCTTATCTGTCACGCTTTTTGTATATTGGGACTACATTAGCCATCTTCCATATTTCAGGTAGGTATCCCGTTTCCAGTGACCTACTATACATTATAGAGAGTGGCAAGCAAAGTGCTTCTGCACACTTTCAATACCCCTGGTGAGATTCTGTCTGGGTCAAAAGCCTTTCTCACGTCCAGATCCAACAGATGCCTCTTGACCTAATTTCTTGTAATTTCGAACCCTTCCAAGTCCGCTTGGTTCACTGCCACCTCACCTAGCGCAGTGATCTCACCTCGTCCTATTGTGAAGACCTCCTGCAACCTCTTGTTGAGTTCTTCACACACCTCTCTGTCATTCTCTGTGTACCTATCTTCACCTGTTCTAAGTTTCATCACCTGTACCTTCACTGTTGTTTTCCTCCTGATGTGACTGTGGAGTAGCTTTGGTTCGTTCTTGGATTTATTAGTTATATAAAATGTTATACTTTTTCTAAGCATCTTTTCTCACACAAACATACTCATTCCTGGTTGTCTGGTATCTCTCTCTCTGCTTTCAGGTGTTCTGTTATTTCGGAAGTTCCTCCACGCCCATTTGTTCAGTTTCTTTGCTTCCATACATGCCCTATTTAACCATGGTTTATTCTTTTGCTTCTTGGTTTTTTCCTTTGGGTCGGGATTAACTTGTTTACTGCCTCCTGACACTTTTTGGTGACATAGTCCATCATATCTTGTATGGACTTAGGTCTGAGTTCGTGTCCCATGGTATGTCCCTTAGGAATTTTCTCATCTCAGCATAATTTCCCTTTCGGTAGGCAAGCCCTTTGTTTCCTGGTTCTTTTGGGGGGGGAGTTAAATCCTAGCTTTTCCAAGTACTCAAAGATCAATACAGTGTGATCACTCATTCCCAAGGGAGCTTCCAACTTAACTTCCCCTATATCCGACTCATTTAGGATAAAAATCTGATCAAGAATAGCTGGTTCATCCTCTCCTCTCATTCTTGTCGGTACCTTGATGGTACCTTGTGTGTGTGTGTTTGTGTGTTTGTACTTACCTAATTGTGCTTACGGGGGTTGAGCTCTGGCTCTGGCTTTGTGTGTGTGTACTCACCTAGTTGTACTCACCTAGTTGTGTTTGCGGGGGTTGAGCTCTGGCTCTTTGGTCCCGCCTCTCAACCGTCAATCAACAGGTGTACAGATTCATGAGCCTATCGGGCTCTGTCATATCTACACTTGAAACTGTGTATGGAGTCAGCCTCCACCACATCACTTCCTAATGCATTCCATTTGTCAACCACTCTGACACTAAAAAAGTTCTTTCTAATATCTCTGTGGCTCATTTGGGCACTCAGTTTCCACCTGTGTCCCCTTGTGCGTGTTCCCCTTGTGTTAAATAGACTGTCTTTATCTACCCTATCAATCCCCTTCAGAATCTTGAATGTGGTGATCATGTCCCCCCTAACTCTTCTGTCTTCCAGCGAAGTGAGGTTTAATTCCCGTAGTCTCTCCTCGTAGCTCATACCTCTCAGCTCGGGTACTAGTCTGGTGGCAAACCTTTGAACCTTTTCCAGTTTAGTCTTATCCTTGACTAGATATGGACTCCATGCTGGGGCTGCATACTCCAGGATTGGCCTGACATATGTGGTATACAAAGTTCTGAATGATTCTTTACACAAGTTTCTGAATGCCGTTCGTATGTTGGCCAGCCTGGCATATGCCGCTGATGTTATCCGCTTGATATGTGCTGCAGGAGACAGGTCTGGCGTGTGTGTGTGTGTGTGTGTGTGTGTGTGTGTGTGTGTGTGTGTGTGTGTGTGTGTGTGTGTGTGTGTGTGTGTGCGTGTGTGTGTATGTGTGCTGGAGTGTGCATGTATTCTGTGATCTATGAAGGTCCCTCGCTCGTCCATGTTCATCACTCCAGATTATAACCACCAACGTTAGAGGTCAGAGAAACTTATCCTGATATAAAACCAGTCGCTGTGAACTAATCCTATAAAAGTTCCTTAATTCTGGTATTTGTCATATTTTCGAGTCTACTTTTAGATGATAAAAAAGGTTATTTGTATCAAAGACATGTAAGAAAGGACTGCACCGAGACATTTTGCTTTTAGAGTTCTCATTCGCAATTTCAGAATGCAGGTCGACTCAAATACATTTTGTATTGCATATATTTGCCTCTTGAAACCAAGTGGCTATATCTAATAAACACGTCCAACATTCTGCATACTAAATATTTTCTATCGTCTGTGAGTTGGTGAGTATTTTTTAAGTGTCTGAGAGTAAGGTGAATCTGAATGTGTTTATATGTTTGGGTGGAGTGTGTTCTTCCGTGTTTGTTGTATGAATGTTTGCAAATAATAACTGAATTACAATCATTGTTGTGATTGCAGATTCGTTTGTGAACTCTAAGGCCCAGCTGGCTTTTCTGTTGACACGGGCTGAATGATGACTCTCCCAACCTTCTTGCTCTTTATCATTCCTGTTTTTACAGTTTTAAATTGAAGTTCTCTCAATTCATCAACTCATTTCACATATACATTTTAATAATAATACTACTACGTAAGTGGAGAATATGAATCACAATAACGTAGCTTGACGATATGAGAAATAAACCACACGCTCTAGAAGGTGAGGAGAAGATGACGTTTCTCCCGATAAGCATCACCGTAAGTGCTCCCCCCTTTTTCATGGACCTTGATTTATCAAGAAATTACCCAATAAATAGCGAAATTTTAATCGTTTCTCAGTCTTTGGGGGCTTTATTTACAAATAATAATCATTTTTTGAGCTTCGAAGGACTAGGAAGCTAATTTTAACAACATTAACATTTGAGAGGAAATTTTCCATGCTTTCAACTGTTTTATATATAACAACGAAGCCGACAAATATTGAAAAAATATGTTAAAGTTTGTATGTAGATGCGTAAATGCTTGTTGAATCCTCCCTTTGGTTAATAATTTGTGTTTTTATCTTAAAATTGTTGTCCATGTTGTTCTATTTCTCAACTAGAACATCTAATCTTTGTCTGCCTTGTAAATTCATAATTCTTGTTCATATCCTGTCCCTATTAATTATAGATCCAATTTTGGTGTTGAACCTGTAGTTGTTTTTGTAGTAGATATCACCCAGGGATTGCATATTAACATTGTTCTCATATGAATTAATTATGTTCTGAATCTTTTCTTCTGAAGGTTCGTCTATCTACATACCTGGTCTACCTTTTGTAACTTCCATGGATCAACGGCCCAGCGGCACGGTTTCCGACCAGGCAACGGGAGATGCTATAATCATTATATTTCGTTTTTCTTCTGAATAAAGTAACTTATTGCTGTTCCTGATACACACTTTCACTAAGTTTTTAAATTTACAACATGCACAAATAATAGCCAGCAGTGGTCACGCCACCTGCTGGTAATTTAATCTATTCTGATACACAGTGATATATTTCTTCGAAACATAATTTAGTATCTGATTATCCAAGGAAACGAGATTGTATTAACAACGCTATTGTGATTTGCATTTTTTTGGACATGGAGGACAAAGTTTGTCCTCTCTCCAAACACTCTCCTGATTGGCACCAGGAGAGTGCCAATCACACACACACGACTTGGTAATGGTCCTGGACAGACCGAAACGTCGTTGTTTCTTTCCAAGATATGTATAAAATTTGAGTTAGTTATGTCTAAGATCTTTCCTTATTACGAGCGGCCATGGTCTGGTCTGCAAAATGACACCTCGTCACTACGGATCTTTCAATATTCATGGAGTATGTGGTCATGAAACAGGAAAGGGATGACGTAGCGCATTAGCAAGGTCGGGAAGATAACTGTATATAAAGAGTCGACGGCACACCACCAGCAGCTCAGACCTGGACTGCCACCTTCCTGCATCAAACATGGTCCGTCTCTCTTCGTGTATGGTGATATTTCTTCAGTTTTCAATATTTAAGAAAATAGACAGTTTAGACAGAATTCAGTAAGAAATATATTTTTTGTCATTTCATAAGATTTTTCTTCATTTCACAGAAGGTGCTGGTGATCACCGTGAGCGTTGTCCTGCTGGTGGGATCCTCCAGGGCAGGCGGAGGACATGGAGGCGGTGGTGGGTTTGGAGGCGGCGGAGGTGGATTTGGACACGGTGGAGGCGGCTTCGGAGGAGGTGGATTGGGTTCATTCGGCAGTGGATCTCGCTATGGTTCACGTGGAGGTGGCTTAGGTGGCGGCGGCTTCAGTGGAGGCGGCATCGGAGGTGGTGGATTAGGAGGATCCAAAGGCTTCGGTGGTGGCAGCCACGGTGGCGGCGGCTTTGGTGGTGGTGGCGGCTTCGGTGGTGGCGGTGGATCTCGCTATGGCTCCATTGGAAGAGGTTTCGGCGGTGGTGGCATCGGCGGTGGTGGATTCGGAGGATCCAAAGGATTCGGTGGTGGAGGCCATGGTGGCGGCGGATTCGGTGGTGGCGGCGGCTTCGGAGGCGGCGGTTTCGGTGGTGGCGGCTTTGGAGGAGGATCCCACGGCCAGCGATATGGATAAAAAGTGGATACGTTAACTAAGGATATTAGACATTTTAGTCAAGATAAATCAGTTCTCCTACAAATTTAATATTCTTGACACCATAGATAATTTATATGTCAAAAAATAAACCTTTGAATTCAAGTATTAATTATTTGTCCTAATGAATTTGTTTATTCAAGCCTGTATGTCTGTTTCTTCCAGTGCCATTATGTTCAACTCATTCAGGCTCTCTCTGAACCTCAATCCTATCTGTTCCAGAACCAGTTTTTAAACAATGCTTTGCACTCTCTCCATTTTCGTTTTGAATATTTTAATGTGATGGCGGATTATGTTCATTCGACGAAGATTATTTCTATCTGTGATTGCACGTAATTTTCGCTTTGAGTATTTTAAGTCTTTCTAACGTAGCGCTAAACCTTTTTTTTTTAATTTATCTTCACCCTATAAGTGTTGGAATTGTTTGGGAAGTTAATTATTTTTTGTTCCCTTCATTTATTCCTTATCTGTCTCCAACATTTCGCATGGTCTATGTGTTGCTGCACTCCATTTTCCTGTTTAGATAGTACCTATTGTGGCGATCATCAATAGTCACGAATTCGTACGTCCTTAGCTTTTGGATAGATAGTAGTAGGAAATTTCTTAAACAAAATTAAGCTTAAAAACTAACTTAAACATTCCTAGGTTTAGTAAAGCACACATATGTACTAAATTAGGCCTCAGATATCGTGAATCATCGCTCAGATCGCTAACCTAACCTAACCTAACCTAACCTAACCTACCCTAACCTAACCTAACCTAGGAAGGTTAGGTTCGTTTTGTTTGTCTTTGTAATACAGGTGAAAAATAATTTCCGGTTTGTCCAACTCAATAGTGCTGATTTCTACTTTCTTAATTCGTTGTACGTCGGTACATATACTATGATCCTCATCGTTACTATAAGTACTACCAAAATAGGAGGATAGGCTGGTTAAGGATACTTTACAATTGTTTAATTGTTATGGCTCTTACTAGTTCTAAATATTTATATCACATATGCCTTTCCGTCTGTTTAGCACCACCCCCTTTCTTCTTTAATGGCATGGTATTCACTGAGTTACATAAAAAGGGATTTCAGAAATATATTTGTTAAATTTACTGTTCGGTCCTGTCAAGTCCCACAGTCATTGTTTTGTAAAGTCCCTGGCGTTGGTTCACATCCTTAACCATTCACTTTTCTCTACTTTTGAAGTCAGATCAATTTCTGGAGGAATCCTTACAACCATGTCAGGTACTTACTTATTCCAACTACACGTTCAGTGTCTCTTGAAATGTTAAATTTAACTCAAAACTTGTCACATCATCCAATGTTAACTATCCGCTTCTCTTGGCAATTCTCATCATCCTATTGACTTCCGCATTGTGGCTTCTATCGGTATTGTGGCTTCCTGCATTTCGTTACCGTGAAACATCTATGTTTCTTGTTTCGATATTATTTCTCAACTCCAATTCTAATGCTTATGTAATTGTAAAGTTTTTTTCTGCTCATCTCTTATCTTATCCGTTGGGTTCATGCTGCGTATTATTACATTTATCTATAGTTCCCAATTTAAAAATGAACTTCCTCCTAATCGACTCCAGAGTTCTCCATCCCCAAGAGAAAACTTATGTCCCTATAACTTTCAAAGTCAACATCCAGAACATTGAAACGTGTAGGCAGCACAAATACCTTGGAGTTGGTATTAACAGTGACATTGTAAACGATCTACTCCGTAGGTTAAAAGAAAGACTAAAACCATTGAAAACACTTACTGGTAAGAATATTGGTATAAATATTAAATATGCTAAACTATTCCATATGATGTTAGATCTCTCGTTGACTATAATGCTTTGCACTTAATTAATTTCCCCTCCTCTGTGTTGGACAAACATGAAGTAGTACAGAATGAAGCCATGAGGATAATTCTTGGTGCCCCAAGATGCACAAGAATCATCAACATGAGGGAAGAACTGAAGCTTCCAACCATACTAGAGACAATCATGCAAGTCAACACTACCTTTTGCCTTAAAGTCATGAGAGACCCTACATCTCCTGCATTGCTCAAAGACAAATTATTTAGTGCTGTTAACACCCTATTGACTGGTGCCGACATACCAACTCACTCCTTTTATGATAAATGGCTGAGAAAAAATGCCTACAATCTCATTAAACTCAACATTCCTTTTAAGTGCAATCTACCTGTCTCTGATATTCCTCTTTATCTGTACCCCACCATTCAAGTATCATACACACCTGTCACCAAGAAAGATAATGAGAATCTTGCTCTTCTCAAAGCTGTCACACTCGAAACAATTGCCTCCTCCATCGAGAATTTAAGATCTCACGAGCACTGTGTCTACACCGACGGCTCAGTCCAATCTTCTACTGGACGGACTGGAGCAGCATGTAGGTTTTATAGAAATAATATTTGCACAAAGACTGTCAGTGTCAGGTTAAACAACTGGCTGACCTCCACACAAGCAGAACTAGCAGCATTACAACTAGCTACCAGTACATTAAAAACATTGGAGGAGGAATAATATTTTGTGATTCAAAGTCTGCTCTTCAAGCAATCGAAAACTTCTCCTGGAAGATCGACAGCAAGAACCTCATACTATCAATTATAAATGATCTAATTGCTGCACAGAGTAAAGGGTCTCGGATCTATTTTATATGAATACCTTCACACATAAATATAACCCATCATAATGAGAGACATTGCAGCCAAATTAGCGTGCAACAAAGATGAAGTTGAATTAGATCTAGGTATCCCCATCTCTACTGTCAAAACTGTATTGGTCCAAATACTCAGGTCTGATAGGAAAGAAATTACTGACTCCACCGACCTGAAAGTACTAGTATATAAAGCTATGATTAGTTCAGATCTGAAACCTATATCTATGGGCAGCACAAAACGTCCACCAGACTGTGCGACACAGTGGTTGCAAGGATCAGGTTGGGTTACCGTTACCTGTGGCAGGTGGCTACAGGTGACGGATCTCCCAATCCTGAGCACTCCAGGTGCAAACTCTGTGAGCAGGAACTACGGCATGATCTCCCACACCACATCACCGAATGCCCAATTATTAGACCTTTCAGACCAGTTGGCATGAGGTACCTGGAGCTTTGCAATTACTTTATTACCTCTCGTATTCTTGAGGATATCCTCATATTGCACCCAAAATTTGCCAGTGCAGGCTACTAAACATTTGGCCCTGTATGACTAACCATCCTGCGAGATGGGGACTTTTATTACCACTGCTACCTTATTCACTCTTGTGTTGATGATATCCTCAAAATGAATCCGGAGTCTGCCAGTGCAGACTGCCTATCACATGCCTCTGTATGACTAACGATCCTGTGTGATGGGGATTTTTTACCATCACGTAGTTAGCTTTTTTAACGCCTGTACTCCACTTCATATAGTCTAGGGTAGCTGCGCTAATGCAGATGTACCTCATGTATTAATAAAAAGAAAAGCTTCTTCAAGAATTTAGGAGGCTTGGAAAATCAAATCTTGCTTCTAATTCAATCATGATAATTATTAGCGAAAATCTCTTAGTAGCATTAGGCATTTATCCGCTGTGCAAGTCCTATTTTGGAGGTCAAACAAAACGCCGTCAAATCATGACATAGAACGAAAAGGCAATGTAAAGGATTTGGATGTACTCATGTCGGAAGACCTTACCTTTAAACAACACAATATAGTAGCCGTCACAACTGCAAGAAAGATGACAGGTTGGATAACAAGAACCTTTCACACTAGAGATACTATACCGATGATAATTTTCAAGACGCTGGTGCTCTCTAAAATGGAATACTGTTGCACATTGACAGCCCCTTACAAAGCTGGAGAAATTGCTGATTTGGAGAGCGTGCAGAGATCCTTTACTGCTAGAATCCACTCAGTAAAACATCTAAACTACTGGAACCGACTAAAATGTCTAAATCTGTATTCTCTTTAGCGCAGGTGGGAGAGATACATAATAATTTACACGTGGAAAATGTTAGAGGAGCTGGTCCAAAACCTGCACACAGAAATAACACCACATGAGCTCAGAAGGCGTGGCAGGATGTGCAGAATACCTCTGTTGAAGTGCAGAGATGCAATAGGCACTATGAGAGAGAACTCAATCAGAGGCTCGAGACTGTTCAACACGCTTTCACTATACATAAGGGGCATAACTGACCAATCCCTCACAGTGTTCAAGACAGAACTTGATAAGCAGCTCCAAAGGATACCTGATCAAACAGGCTGTGACTCATACGTCAAGCTGCGAGCAGCTGTGTCTAACAGCCTGGTTGACCAGTTCAGCAACGAGGAGGCCTAGTCGAGGACCAGGCCGCGGGGACGCTAAGCCCCGAAACCATCTCAAGGTAACCTCAACGAGGCACTAGTATTTCATCACAATATGACATATACATACATACGCATCATTATATAAAAAACGTATCCTGGGACGTGGAGTATTATAATAGAATGCCCTAACAGTCTCTTAAAGGAACTCCCAGTTAAAACTTTGGGAGGGAAAATTTCTAAGGTAGCAGCTGATGTAGTGCGTCAAGTTCCTCTCAAGTCACTCCTCCAGCTGATGTGTAACGGCGTTAATGTGTCTCACCAGACACTTCCTCATTCGTAGCCCCGGCGTCACTGTTGATCTCACACTAGGGGTTCCTTTTCCCAGCGAAGTTCCCGGTTAGCCTCGTCCCTCCAAGAGCGAAATGCGACGCGTTCCCGGGCTGCACGCCATCCTTGAGTTGTTCTGTACTCCCACAAGGACGCGTTGTTCTTCAGGCCGCTCACTGGTACTGTCACTGTAGACTAGAGTCTTTACGACTTGACAGGTAAAACATTCACAGTAATCAATCACTATCCTTGCCCCATAGGCGAAGTTTTTTTTTGTCACTACACTTTCTTGTCCTGTTAATTTTCACTGCACTCACTTGTCGTCCTGTTAATTCTCTTTGTACCTGTCGTCCTATTGATTGTCACTAGCCTTCTCTTGTTGTGGGTCTTTGTGCACCAACATTTCGGTTCGACGTACCGACTAACTTGTCAAATCGGGACCGTCCGGACACTTGGTGGTTGACACTCACTCTTGCCATGATGTGCCAACGTCAGGGG